GGGGGGGGGGGACAGGGGCACACACACGACATCCAGTGTAGGCTTCACTTGTTCTTGCCGCTTTGTCCACTGTCTTGATCTGCACAGATCGGGTCATTTGCGAGGTGTCCACCCCTCGCAAAGTGCAGGAGGGCGTCGTCGGCAGCGTTGGCGGGGGGAAGGACAGCAAGGGGCTGGGGATGTCGGCCATGGCATATGCCTTCGATGACAACTGGCCACTCACTGTCTGGGGCCTGCTCACCGGTACACACGAGAAGCGGCACGCGCCACTACTTCGAGATGGTCACGCTGAGCGACATTCTGTTGTCTGTTGTCTGTTTGTTCCCTCCCTCTCTGTGTCGATATCCAGCATGGGTGTTGACGGCTGCGTTTTTTCTTTTGGCGTTGTGGCGAGGTTCGATGATGATGCCCAAGCCCACCCCCCAGTGGTTCAACATCCTGCTCATAGTGGTCGTGGTGCTCAAGATCGTGCAGACCACCACCTGGCTCTTCTTCGTCCCCACCCTGCAGTCATACAAGGTCCGCCCGCTGCTGGTGGCCATCCTCATCCTCACCTCACTCCCAGTGGAGATTCTCGTGCAGGTCAGGGAGGGAGGGAGGGAGGGAGGGACCTCCGAACGAACAATCGCCGCACTGCACGCATCGGTCAACGGATTGAATGCTTTTGCCTCGCTCCCGCAGTTCCACAATCCCTTCGCAGATCCCATCCTCACACTGGTCCTCTTCTACGTCCAGGCGGCTGCGTGGACATTCTTATTTGCTGTCTACCTCGAGAGGAGGCGGGACGACCAACAGCCACAGCCGCCGGCAAAGAAACAACAACCACAGCAGCAGCAGCAGCAGCAGCCAGGGGTCGACGGCAGCACGGATGTGGTGTCGAGTTCGGTGACGGCGAGTAAGCTGAAGACGTCGATGTTCGGCACGTCGTGGCGCGACGAGGCGACTGAGAAGGAGTTTGTGTTCCGTTCGTGCCAGCGGTGGTGCTGCGTGCCATTTGGGGGGCGGCTCTCGCCTCTTGCATACAGAAGGTGGGCGACAACCAGGCAGGGATGGGATATGAAGCCCTCTGCGGATCCGTATGGCTGGCTGTTGTTTCTCCCATCCATTGTATCTCTTTCTTTCATGTCATGTATGGTATGGTATGACCAGGCTGGTGTTTTTCGGTCGTCATTTCCTGGTGTCGGTGGACCTGTTCTCTGACGTGACTGTGGGGCTGGGACTCATCAAGATCAGCTGGCGGCCCACCACACCCACACCTTGGGTATTCTTCAACGCAGGTGCGGTGCCTAAGGACAGATGCGATGCGCGAGGGAGGGTGTCGGGGTGTGACTATTCTATTACGTGAGATTGTGTGTGTTCAGGTCTGACGATCTTTGTGTTGGCGATGGTGGAGGTCAACTCGATTTTGGTGGAGATCTTTGTGCGGCAGCCGTCGGCCACTAAGGCGCTCCTCAACCTTTTCACCGCATGTCTAGAGGTGAGGGACCTGACTGACACGACGGAGGGAGGGAGGGAGGGACGGCCGCCCACCAGCACCCTCAAATGCGTTTCTTGATGCACTGTTCAGGTCCCCATTCTCATCCTGACGGTCATGTATTGCCCTCAGGTACACACACAGCGAGCACAGACAGCACATGCGTTGGACTGCACACACACCGAGCGAGCGAGTGCTCATGTGCTGTGCTGTGCTGTGCTGTCCTCTCGTCTGTGTCACCTTTCAGTGGAATCTGCCGATGACGATCGTGTCTGGTGTCCTGACGTTGTTGGGCATTTTGTACAAGGCCGGCACCTGCGTGTACGCTTTCAAGAAGCCGGGCGCCCCCGCACAGAAGACGACTTACAGTCACGAGACTGCATGACATGCATGACATGACAAAGTCACATTGAGCGAGGCAGATCGAGGCGACGCTAAGAGATGGATGGATGGATGGATGGATGGAGAGGGGCTGACCTGACACGCCTGGCATCGCATGGTGGCTGGCTGTGCTGTGCTGGCCTGCACGTACACATGTGTACATACATAGAGTACTACAGTAAGTACACACATAGATAGATGTACACAGCTAGCTGTCTAGTCGGTAAGTCAGCCAGCCACTCACGTGCCTGTGTGTGACGTGACGAATGCCAGGCCTTCATTGATTGATTGATTGATCGTGTGTGTGTGTTTTATCTTCTTCGAGCTTTGTTTGTAAGTGCGTTTTTCACCGCCCGCCTGACTGACTCGGGCTGTCTGGCTGACACACGATGCGATGCGATGCGATGCGATGCGATGCCTCTACACGTGCATCCACCCACCCGCCAACCCACCCAGTCTGGCCGTCACGTTCACCGTTGCTGCATGACAGACATGTGGGATGGATGGATGGATGGTTCGATGGATGGACGGATGGATCACACACAGTCTGGCTGGCTGGCTGGCTGGCTGGCTGGCCGTCCATACTCACCACCGTCTTTGTGTCCCTCCTCTGCCTCTGTGTGTGTCCTTTCCACGCCTATGCACTACAGCACACGTACGTACCAGCCGCCCAGTTGCGAGACTGATGGCTGTGTCGATGGACCTACACGCTTTTATCTACAAGCGGATGGCATGGATGGCATGGATGGGTGGGCGGATGAATGGATGAATGCTCGTGTGCTAACGTGCAAGCGATTTATGTCCAGTCCTTCTCTCACTCCCTCTGTCTCTCTGTCTGCTGTGCGTGCCTGTATGCCTGCCTGCCTGCCTGTCTGAATGCGTGCCGTGCGTCTGTGACTTTATTTATCGATGCGATGCACGCAGTAGGGCCAGCCGACTAGAGACTAGAGGCTAGAGACGGACATGCTATGCTGGCTGGGTGGGTGGTTGTGGTGGGCGGGGAGGTGTGTAGCGGGCCGGGTGGCTGGGTTGGGCGGGTGTTTATGGGGCGGGCGGTGTGGGAGGGAGGCCGGAAAGAAGGCCGACTGATTGGTCGATCAAGAGGCGAGCAAGAGGAGGGCGGGCGGGAATTAGGGGGGCCACCTGCGTGCCGTGCGTACGTGCTATTTGGTGGTTTTTCAACGGCTGCTCTCTTTGAAGGGGAGCGAGCCTTGTTCGTACTGGATGGATGGATGGATGAGCCAGCTGGGAAGGGCCCAAGGGCAGCCGAATCGGTGCAGTGATGTGATGCATGATGCATAGATATACATAAGTGATATGTAGTGATTCTGATGCGCATTTTTTGACGTCAAGAGCACATGTATACATACACACCTACCTCAACATGCAATACTTTTTGAACTTGAAGATCGACGATGTGCACACACACTCACACACACACCCGTGCACAGCTGGCAGTCGGCAATACGATGCCAGCGGGCCGCACGCGTGGCAGCACGGTGGATTGAGGGAGGGAGGGAGTGGGGTAGGAGTTTGAGTGAGTAGGGCCATGTAACGTCGGGTGTTTTGATGACGGACTTGTTCACGACGGACTTGTCAGAGACGCGTCGTTTGCGACAGGCAGGCATTTAAGCCCTCAAGACCACTGAAGGTATTCGAGCCAACATCAAGTGGGTCAACATCACACACGCGCGCGCTCCCACACACACAGAGGCTGTCAAAGCAGACACCGAACAAGAGACGGATGCACTTAACGGGGTGTGCTCAGAAGGAGAGTGACGCGCATCCACTACACCGACAGAGGAAGCAAAGTGGTTGCTCATGCAAGCAAAAGACTGATGTAAAACAAAGCCAAAACCAACAGTAAGTCCCCATCCCAATGAGTCTATGTGCCCAAACCGACTGAGTCCAGCCCACTACAACCGCCCACTTGCACCGACAGACACAGGGAGAGGATCAGTAAGCACACCGCCTTGCAACGAGCGACCTGCATGAACAAACAAGGATCAACAAGAACCCATGCATCGTATCCTTCCTGCCGACCTGTCCGTACTCCGCTCTAGCGCTACTCCGCCTCCATGGCGTCCACTTTGGCACGGATCAGAGCCGCCGTGCGCGGGAACCGCTGAGCTGCGCTCCGTTGCCTCGGAACACGAGGCTCAGTAGTGACGATCGATAGATTAGACGTGTGGCTTGGTTGGTGGTATACGTTCACGTTCATGAAGGCTGCAAACTCGTCAGTCGCTTTGTCACCGCACACGACCGCAGTTGTACTGCACCACCCCCACTCAGGGGAGCAGCTCTTCCACACGTACGCCAGCCGACTCCCGCTCCACGTTGGGCCCATCTGGGAGGTGAGTTTTCCGAGCCGCTCCGTCAGCTGCTGCTGGGCGGTCCGCGTCATGATCTCGTCTGGCTTGATGCGCCTTGAGCGGTTGTTGATGCCTTCAATACCTCTGAAGATCACGTGGAGGCAGAAGTCAGTGAAGGATGCGGCTGTGTCGCTCGACGATGCGGCTTCGTCCCTCTCGTCTGCACATAGGCAGACAAATGAGCAAACTACTTCAAGCATCCTCATGTGTGTTGTTACGTGCTCCTTTTGCCTCACATATGACTGGTGGGTCTGATGTGTTGACAGTGAGTAGGTCGCCTGGCAACATGTCGGGCGTCAGGACTCGCTTAAATGCCTCTGTAAGCGCCTGGCGGTCTCGAGCTTTGATACTTTTGCTGAAAATAGACGGGGTGCCTGCATCGTCAGCTCGAGAACGAAATAGCGAAAGCTGTCGCATAGCCGCGGGTTGGGAATCGAACTCCATCTTGGTGCCCACTTGGCGCACGTCATCAGGAGTGATGATGACCGGCAGAGAAGGGAGGTGGCCGCAGTTCTTCAGCAAGTGAAGAAGCTGCAAACAGCGCTCCCACGGCCCTCCCTCCTCGACAAAGTGCGTCATCCGGAGCAGATAATCCATCCGACTTATCCTCTTCCGGAACCCGAACAGAACCAGCAGTCCACCCCAAAGATGCTTTTGAATCAACTCCACGACTTTTGTCTGCTTGTCAGAAACCCTTCTCAGGAAGAGGGATCCGAAAAACTCGTCCACCCGTCCCGATTCTACGGCTTCACAACAAATGACGATCGCGCCGGTGACGCAGAGGAAGAACAACGGCGCAGCCACCGCCAAGGCACATACCATTATCAAGCACCAAGTCCACCAGGCGCATGATGCTGGTCTCTCACTCAGGCAGGGAAAGATGCGTGTCACCACCCACAAACCAACCACCGACGCTGCCAACACACCGAGATGCCAAACAACGAGGTACCCCAGAACAGCTCCCCCGAGAAAAATCCAAAGAACCACATCCACCAGTTCGCTGACAGTGGCCGTGAGGCAGTGCTGCAGGTACGCCAAGGTGGTCTTGTGCCGCTTCGCCACCGCCATCACCCCGTCCAGACCTTTATCGCGGATGGATCTGTCGAGGCGGTCCGTCAGATAGTCCTCACTGATGAGATAACAGCCGACGCTCTTGGACGCGGCTCGAAGGGTTCCGCAGCTGACGGAAGGGAGGAAGCTCCTCACCTCTGTACGGATCTCCTCCGGCAGGCCCGCGAGATGGCAATCGGAATGGTCTCCAGTCATCGTGGCAGCGCGTGAAATCGTGGAAACGCCAAAAGATGTTGGTGGATGTGTGTGTGTGTGTGTGTATGTTTGCGCGTACGGATCCACTTGTTTCGAACGTGGTCTTAGCTCGCCCATGCGGATCGCACTCCTCTCCAAGGCTCATCGAAGCAGTCTCCGTGGCCTGCCGTGTACACTTCCACGCACTGCCGACTGATGTCACTGCATACGCACACGTGATGCAAGAGTACTTTGCATTGCAAAGGTCCCAGCACATACAAAACACTATCAGACACCGATTGCGCCGCCGCCGCCGCTTCCACAGTCAGCGGCCCAGCACGCTCCGTCACCATTCGTCTGTGACACACCCCTCCGACGCGCTCTTGACATTCTTGATGTACTTGAGCAGAGTGCCACGCTCAACCTACACAGACACATTCATGAATGCTACGACGCGGCCAGCCCAGATCTTTCGTCTGACGCATGCACCTTGTAAGGCGGCGGCGTGAATTGCTGTCTCCTCTTGTCCATTTCGTCATCGGATACGTCCACGTCGATCTCGAGTGTGTCTGCGTCGATGGTGATGGTGTCGCCGTCACGCACCAGTGCGATGGGGCCGCCCTCCTGCGCCTCAGGACATATGTGACCGATGATGAACCTGCACACACAGCACAGCACAGCACAGCACAACACAGCACGGGGGGAGAATGGGTTGACAGCTGCAGGGATCGTTAGTCGTGTGTGGGTACCCGTGCGATCCTCCTGAGAATCTCCCGTCTGTGAGGAGGGCCACATCCTTGCCGAGGCCAGTGCCCACAATTACTGACAGCCAATCGGGACAACAGATGGATGACTGGCTGGCTGGAACACATGTACCCATCCATCATCGCCCGCCCACTCCCTCACCTGACGTCGGTGTGAGCATCTCAGGCATCCCCGGCCCGCCTTTCGGACCCTCGTAACGAATCACGACCACATCGCCCTGCACACACCACACCACACCACACACGATGGATGAACTCCTACGACCAGGACACATGCCGTGCATGGCATGGCTGTGTTCTCACCTGCTTGATTTGTTTCTTCTCCGCTGCCGAGAGCATGTCCTCCTCGCAGTCGAACACGCGAGCAGGGCCCCTGAAGCGCGACCCCTCCTTGCCCGTGATCTTGGCCACCGCGCCATCTGGCGCAAGATTGCCCCGCAGGATCTTGATGTGGGCCTTGGGCTGCAGCGGCTTGCTGACGGGCAGGATGACCTTCTGCGCGTTGAAGTCTAATGGCTTCGCCGCCTGTCCACACACACACACAGATGCGCACAGCCAGGCCGTGACGACAGCAGCCACAGCTTACAGTGTATGTTGGCTGTCTCACCTGCAGGTTCTCCTTGACGGTTTTGCCGGTGACGGTGAGGCAGTCGGGGTGTAGGTATCCCTCCTCCAGCAGGTGGCGCATGACGGACGGTATGCCGCCGATCTTGTGGACGTCCTCCATGACATAGGTGCCGCTGGGCTTCAGGTCTGCGATGAGGGGCGTCTTGTCGCTCGCACGCTGGAAGTCGTCGATGGTCAGGGCGATGCCCACCGACCTCGCCATGGCGATCAGGTGCAGCACCGCATTGGTGGAACCGCCCAGAGCCATCACCACCGTCAGGGCGTTCTCGAAGGCCTGATGATCGGATCCGCAACACACAGACAGAAATGTACAAACAGGGCGTTTCCCTCCCTCCTTTCTCCCATCTCGCTGCTCTCACCTCTCGTGTCATGATGTCCTTGGGTCTGATGTTCTTCTCTAGTAAGGCCTTGACGGCAGTGGCGGCCTCCGCGCACTCCTGCTGCTTCTCGGGCGACACAGCAGGGTTGGACGACGAGTAAGGCAGCGACATGCCGAGAGCCTCAATGGCGCTCGCCATCGTGTTGGCGGTGAACATGCCGCCACACGCACCAGGCCCCGGACAGGCGTGGAAGTTGATGTCCAGCCGTTCCTCCTCAGTGATGGCCCCCCTCAGGTATCTTCCGTACGACTCGTTTGCATCCAGGACGTTGATCACCTCCCCCTTGCTGGTCCTGCCTGAGGCGATGGTGCCGCCGTAGAGCATCAGGGAGGGGCGGTTGAGGCGGCCCATGGCAATGATGCAGCCGGGCATGTTCTTGTCGCAGCCGGGGAGGGTCACCAAAGCGTCATACCACTGAGCACCCATCTGCAGACAGACAGACAGACAGACAAGCCAACCAGCATCACAACACACTACACCTGTGTTCTCTCCCTCCCTCCCTCCCTCCCTCCCTCTCTTCCTCCCAGGTGCGGCAACAGACCAGTGTTTCGATGCTGTCAGCGATGAGGTCCCTGGATTGCAGCGAGAAGGACATGCCGTCGGTGCCCATGGAGATAGCGTCGCTCACCCCGACAGTGTTGAACTGGAAGCCCACCAGCCCCTCGGTCTGCAGCTGCTCCTTGACGCGGTGCCCCAGGCCCAGCAGGTGCATGTTGCAGGGGTTGCCTTCGTACCACACGCTCGCCACGCCCACCTGCGGCTTGCTGAGGTCCTCCGGCTTGAGGCCCGTGGCCATCAGCATGGCCTGGGAAGCGCCTTGGCACTTGGGCTGTGTGATGCGGCAGCTGAAACGGTTCAGTTTCGACATATCCTCGATGTCTGGGGTGGCAGCAAACATACGGTTGAACGGCACCGCGGAAGAAGAAGAAGAAGAAGAAGAAGACCAACACGGCTGATCCATTATTTTGTCAGTACTGCTATTCTTTCCTTCGGAATTGAGTTGAATGAATCAAATCGATACAGGATTGTCTGTCAACTGCCGCCGTCACTCAGAGTCTTACGCTCTACCGACCGACAGCCCATCAAAGAACAAGGGTGTCAGTCCACCTACAGAGATCAGTGGACGCACTCACGCACAGAGACTCACATTCAGAAACTCTCTCCCCAACCACGGCCACCAAGGCCGCAAACCCCCCCCCCCCC